CACTTCGGCCTTTGGGACATGACCTAAACAAAGACCGGATGCGAGAAGTCGCCACTGCCGATCGCTTTCTTGAGGTCACGACGATTATCAGCTCAAGCAGGACACATCGACACCGTATGCTCCACGGTGTCCTTTAAGTGGTCTTTGCAATGAAGAAAACCAGGCGTTTCCTCACTCTTAATCCAATATAGGTTCTTTCCGAAGCTCCAGTGTCCTGTAAGAACCTACTTAAGGTGGAAACTAAAGTCTTCGTGGCGTCTATCTAGTCAAAATGGCTTACAGACATATTTTCCTATATTACCAAGTATAAACACGTGAATTCATCACGTGTTGACTTACTTAGAAGGTACATGGGACACTGTAATGGCGTCTTAGTAATTGTACGTTGCTTGCATAATGAGTAATGATATTATGTACCTACCTACCACTTGAAATGGATGCCATGTACCTAATGTTATGGGAACATTTAAATGAATGTTATATAACATCGTAATGATTTTAATCATCGAGGTGTAAGCAAAGGAGTTTATTGTTATTACGAATTAAACTAATGATAATATTTTTTTATGACCGTCTTCAGAAACGTTCTGGGGTTCCGTAGACAAATGGCAGAAAACTCAACTGTTGGTTTCATCATGTTTTTACTCTAAGGCAGTCTATCGGTATTTCTAGAAATTGGAATATGGTGTAATGTCATGATTTAAAACATTTTATACTGATTTCTTAATTATAAATTCATAAATTAAATGAGCAGATGAATTATCTGATGGTAAGCAATCAGCGCCGCCCATCGACACTCGTAATATCTAAGTAGTTACTACAAGTGCGGCTGGCGTTGCCTGTTATTTGTGGGTTATTAGGGATTTAAGGATAAGGGATTTGAGGATTGAGGATGGGAGGGGGAGGATTGGGGCTCCGGTAACCTCACTCACACGACGAAATACAATGTAAGTGGCTTCACGCCGGCTTTCTATGAGGCCGTGGTGTCACTTTCGGGCTGACACAGTGTCCATTTTGGGTGCCAAAACGTCAAGCCTACCAAGGTATTTAAATAATTATTTTCCGCGTTTAATAACCACGTAAATATAAATATGTTGTTAATATGAAACGCGAAAGTTTAAAAGTTAGTATAGTTTGAGTTTTTTTTAAAAAGGCCTTCACTACAAATTTATAATACATACATTATTGACAAGACAATCTACATTTTTATTGTTCATGTAAGTTTAATAAAGACAAGACTACTTCACCTTAATTAGACTTCATTTAATCACTTTATAACGAGGGTGATGAGGTCATATAATTAATTCCTTAGATACTAAACATAGACTATCGTATAGTTGAAATTTAAAAGCAACTAACTGTATTTTTTTATCCTGCTATATCATAAAATTAGTACTCTCTCGAGGTTTCACCCGCTGCTCGGCTCCATTTAATTGTAGCGTGATGTTTTATAGCCTATAGCACTCAGGAACATTGTAGCTCTTTATCAAGGGAAAGAATGTTTGCAATCCGACCAGCGGAGACGGACAGACCGACACACATTAAACACTACATACAACTTACCATTTTGCGACTCATTTATATTACATACAGATTAATTACACCATAAATAATCAAAAGCAACATAACGCCTTTATTCTATTAAGAGCAATCAGCGACAGTGCGTCTATTACCTCTTAAAGTTTTAAACACCACATTATCATCATCGTCAGCCTATAAGGGTCTACTGCTGAGCACAGGCCTCTTCTCACTCGGAGAAGATTCGGCGGCTTCGCGATTTCAAAGTTATATTTTGAAAATAGAATTCCAGGATTCTTTACTATATTTTCTTTTAAAATTCAATTGTTCCTAAATAATTTTATACAATGGAACTTTTATCTATACTAATATTATAAAGAGGTAAAATTTGTAAGTTTGTATGTAGGGGGTAATCTTTGGAACCGCTGGTCAGATTGCTAAAATTCTTTCACTGATAGATAGCTACAATGTTCCTGAGTGCTATAGACTATAAAACATCACACTACGATCAAATGGAGCCGAACAGCGGGTGAAACCGTGCGAGAGAAGCTAGTATTATATATATGTTTTATAACTAGAAAAACTAAGTGACCTCATGCATGGAGTCTGTTTCTTGACAAAAATGTAAATAGATTTTTCTTTTGTATTTAATTTTGTTTTGTTTTATCTTTAATAAATTTTCCAGAAATTGTTAAATAAAATATATAATATATAAAATATAATTAAGTACCTTTATGTATCTACAGAATTTTATTACCTAAATATCGTGGGAACGTTGCGTACACAGCAATATAAGGCATCTCACGTATTTCTAGGCTTCATATAGAAGTGGTATTTTCGTGAATGTAGCAAAGATATCAATGCGAGTTGGTATGGTTTGTCGCAATATCGAAGCCGCCGGCTGCACGTTCTGCAAATATCACAGTCCAATGCATAGCAGTCCGTGCTTTGCAACTGGAAGTTAAATCCTCATAACTATACTTTTACTAGTGCCTTGTCGATCGCCGATCTGTTTATTTTTTTATTTGTAAGGTCGGCAAATAAACAATACCTGATGGTAAGCAATCAACGTCGCACATGGACGCCCGCAACGACGGTGGAGTTACGAGTGCGTTGTCGACCTTTTGGGAATTAGGCATTTGGAGATTTTACGAAAGGAAACGGATTGGGGTAGGGGAAGGATTGGGCCTCCGGTAACCTCACTCACGCGGCGAAACACAACTCGTTGGTCATTTCACGCCGGTTCCCTGTGAGCCGTGGTATCACTCCCGGTATCACGATCGTCAATTTTCTTTACTACCTTTTGTCCCACTTTAAAAATGTGGAAATTTAAAACTTAAAATGGCAAGATCATTACCACGCCTTGATTTTCTTGTAGAAATAATTGGTATTCAGCAAAGAGTCCCCATACAATACATAGAAGTATTATTATTTACTCTTTCGAAATAGCCCTTTTTGTGAGAAAAAATCATCAAATGAGAAACGAGAGTGGAGAGAGGAACTGTTAGATTCTTATTGACTAAAAACTCCCCGTTCTTGGCCAAGGCTGCGGTGTCTTATTGCGATTGTCGCTCATTCGGAGTTTCTCCTGTGTCGTGGGTGCGTTTACAAACATGAAATTCACACGTACACAAACCACCCAGATCGAAAACAACAATCTGTGGATCACACAAAGAGTTGTTCCGTGCGGGTTGAATGCGACACGCTGCACAGCAGCCAGTTGCCCAGCCACTACGCCAATCGTGCAGTCATTTTTTTTTGTGAGGGGAAAATCATATAATTACTTCTCCCGCCCAGGGCAGGGCAGGAGGGAGTGTCAGACTCTTACTGACTTAAACCCCCCTGTTCCTTCTCCTGCTCTGGGCCGAGGTCGCGGTGCCTCATTGCGCTTGCCCCGCAACCCCGGCTGAATATCAGCTCTATAGTGCCCCGTCTGTGGTGGTCTATTGGATCTTTGAGGCGTGCGCGGAATGCTACGCGCCGTACACTTCGTCTGGTTCTGGTCGGGAGGCGAGTTACCCTTACTCGCCGACCGCAGACCCGCGCTTATGGTGGCCGGAGATCGTCCCTTGATCCCCGACGTCCGTTGTGTCACCTGTTGCGGCGGCTGGGGCGTGAGGAGGAGGATAGCTCCCTCACGCGGGCCGCCTCTCTCTTTGCGAGCATAACTGCTTCACAGAAGGAGGAGACGGCATCCCAGTTCCTCTACCACCGCCGCCGATTACTTCCCTGAGGATACGGCGGTGCCTAGCCCAGGCAGGGCATACCTCCACCGTATCCTACAGGTTGTCCTCACAATATCGTGCAGTCTTAATGATGAGTTTTTAAAAATCGAATTATTGCTTTTTAGTTGTGCTACGAACAATAATGACAGTTTATATTTAAATATCGTATGCATTCTACTTTTAGGTACTTATATATTTATTTATGTACAGGGCAAACGAAAGTATATAACATTATGTGCTACATAATCCTATTAAAATGTCTTCCAGTGAACTTATGACAGAAAGAATAATTCAGATTCGTAACACAATCAGTAACAAAGGAACATAAAATATAACTGAATGAATTGTGATCAAACTTGGAGTTAAAACATATTTTGCAGCTTCCATTTTTAAGATTGACGGGCAGCGTAAGATTTTGATTCAACCACCGAAAGATTTTGATTTGGGACACCAAGGATGATTTTTATCCAGGAAAAGTCTGGCAGTGTCCTTCGTCTCTCCAGGAAAAGGCTTCCTGAGGATTTAAGCTAGCCACATGAGTACATATGTCACCTGATGGTAAGCAATTTTAAGGCCTAATCTTCAGGATTTCGGGATTGGGGAACCTAAATCACACTGCAAGCATAATTTGCATTTACAAAATAACACTCAAGTACTAGATAAAAATTTATTTCATCTTACAACTAAGAAATATCCGTCAAGAAAACCCAATATTTCCTTTTAAAAATACGAAAAAAAAAACTTAAAATGGCAAGTACATTTAGCTTTCGCTCTGACTTCTCTTGTGTATTGACATATTTTTTAATATGAATAGAATCCTCTCTGACTTTCTCATTGGTGGGGTGACTGAGCAGGGACCCTCTGGTATGATTTAAGATAACCCTCCGGTATGATAGAAGTATATTATTATTCAGTCGTGTCAATGTCGTGGTGGCCCGGAGGTTAAGGAGCCCGCTTCTCATGCATGAGGGTGTGGGTTCGAAACCTGGCAAGTACCAATGTGACTTTTTCCGAGTTATATGTACTTTCTATGATTATTAAGACACCACTGACATACGGTGAAGGTAAACATCGTGAGGAAACCTGGGCTTATAATTACTAATTATAAGTTTGAAATCGCCAACCCGTTTGAGCAAGCGTGGTGATTAATGCTTAAGCCTTCTCCGTTTGAGAAGAGGCCTTTGCTCAGCAGTGGGCACTTATAGGCTGATAATGATGATAATGATTATTCAGTCTAAATTATTAAGTAATTGTATTGCATCCCAGATTTGATGGGATAGCACAGCTATTTGGCTCCATACTAAATAACTGTTCTCGTCCACAACCGCTAAAGATTGGAATTATTTACCAGAGTCTGTATTCCCCAAAAGATGTATTCGAGGTCCAAGTGAAAAGATTACTTATGGGTAGGATTGCTCCATCCAGGTGTGATAGAGGCCGAAACAAACCAATCCTTTGAAAACGAAAATTATGTCAGTAACACAAGTAAAGTCACAGCACCAAGCTAGCTACATCTTATCTAATAAGAATAAATGTACATCATTAAAGATCATAAAATAAGAATTTAGTCAACACTCAAAGCTCTGAAAGATCCAGGCATGCCTAGGTATTCCTCATTGAACTTTCCTATGTTTCTCTTCCCTTCTTCAGTGCGAGCGCTGAACATCATTTTCACGTAATCCACGTATTCTTCTTTACTCAATTCTTCTACCATTTCATCTGAAATTAATTTATCAATAAATTATTTGTTTGTTTCATTGTGATTTTTTTTCTGCTTTATTCTTTTTTTCTAAGCGCTGATAATCATTTTTGTTCTGTCATAAATCGGCAAGCGAACCGACGTATTACCTGGTGGTAAGCAATCAGCGCTGCCCATGGACATGGTCACTCGTAATACCAAAGGAGTTACTTTAGTCGTTACCACTGCGTTCAGTTTGGCTTATGAGTGAGGTCATCGGAGGCCTTCCCCTCTTCCAATCCCTAAAACTCCAAAAGTCTAATCCCTAAAGGTCGGTAACGCCCTCGTAACTCCTCCGTTGTTGCGGAGATCAATGGGCGGCGCTGCTTGTTTACCATCAGGTAGTCTGTCTGCTCGTTTGCCTATCACATAAAAATAGAAAGCTAGGCAGAAGCAACTGGTAGAAAGTAAGTAGTTATTTTATAGTTTAATTATTTGTAATTTATTTTTCTGAAAGTATTGTGGATAAAGTACATATTATTATATAGATGCAAGAGCTGCTTATGAACAAGAAGCTTGATGTGTCTTGAAACTAGTCGTTATTTCTAATTTTTCAAGAGACTTAGACTAAATTTCGAAATTATTTTCACGCTTACCTTGCAAAACCTCAACAGATTTCTCAGTCCCTCCATATTCGACAGGCAAGATATGCTTCGGAATAACTTTTTGTAAATCTTCTAATGTACGCTGAACGCTCATTCTGTTGCCCACCTTTTCACTTATAAATTGTTTCACTGTGTTTATAATCAGCTCCACGGCCTTGGATTCTGTCACAATGTTAATACTTTTCATCCTGGCGCCATAGCCTTCCTGGAAAATAAAAATTGGTGTATTAAACTCTTCAACATTTTAAAATAGGGTTTTCGATTTTATTGTCTATATATGGCGTAATAAGATCTACATAGCGCAAATGAAGTGCTCACGTGATGACGTGATTTGTTTTGACATGGAAATAAATTTCTAATGCACAACCTGCCATAATAGACATACATAACTACCACAACTGTTATCCGTTTGGGAGAGACAAGCTTCTTCTTCTCTCAAGAGTGATACCGCGGCCTCACATAACTTTTTTTTTTTTACTTGCAACAGAAAACCGGCATGAAACAATCACGGCGTTGTCTTTCACCGTGTGAGTGAGGCTATCGAAGGCTCAATTCCTCCTCCTATCCTTTCCCAATCCTTAAATATCCACAACCCCTTATCCTCAAAAGCCAGGCAACGCACTCGTACTCCTTAAGTGTTGTGGTTAAATAAGAGTGGATATCTTACCATCAGATAATTCATCGGCTAAAATAAAGAACGTTACTCTCCTTTCCTTAAACTAATACTTAGCCAAAACAAGGTAAGAAAAAGTATGATGAAACGCCTGCGTGATTTTTTCTAGTATACTATTGCTCATTCAAACATTTGTAGATACAGTTGCAACAGGACTTTTCGCATCACTAAATAAATGACAGTTTTTAAAAATGTACCTAGCGACCTTGAATTTTCAACGAAAAGAAATAGAATTTGTGGATACTCATGATATGACAGATAAAGATGATATTACACATTTGTTAGGACAGGATGGAGAAAAAATACGAGTAATATGACAAACTCAAATAGCTTGGGACAAGGACGAAGATGATTTAGTTGACGTTGAATCTAACTGGGTTTTCAAGGTGCTAATAAAGTTGAGCATTCATTCGGTATAAAATACTAAGCATTCGCAATTTTTTGGACTAACGAGCTAAGAAATGCCTTGGGTCAAACTACTAGGAAAATTAAAAAAGTCTGTAATCCAATTTAAGCATTCTCTCTAGTTATAACAGATTCCCAGATTGCGGATGCAAGAGCAATAACATACGGCAGCCATAGCCTGGAGCAGTAGAGAGAACGGGGTGTTTTTTAGTCAGTAAGAGTCTAACTTTCCCTCTAACCCCACCCAGGGCCGGACAGGACATCTGATCTGTGATCTTCCTCTTTTGACAGAGTGCCTTCTAAAACACTTTCGTAGGAATGCTCAAATTTATCAGCACCATTATACTTACAACCAATATAGTGATAAATTGCTGCAGCTCCACAGTGCTCATTTTAGACACAACATCAAACATATTGAGCTCTCGACAATCATATATTATGATGAAACCGTTCACGTAATCGTTGGCTTTTATGTACTCGCATAGCTGGAAAGAAGAATAAATCACATTACTTTTCTAACAAAAAATTTCTGCATAAACTGGTCAGCTAGACTGGAGTGACACCATGGTGACAGAGAAAACTGGGGTCAGCGTTGTGTTTCGCCGTGTGAGTGAGGTTACCGTAGGTGTAATCCTTCCTATTTCACCTTTCCCAATTTCTAAACCTCCCTATTCAACCCAAAATCTTAATCCCCAAAGACTCGGCATTCGTTGGATGTTGCGGTTTCTATGTGCGGTGGCAATTGATTAGCATCAGGTATTCAGTGGGTTGTTTGCCGACACGTCACAAAAAATAGTCTTGCAAATACCCATGGATAACCATTTTCCATCACGTGATAATCGGTCGGCTCGTTTGCTTTATTATACCAAAAAGATATACCGAAGTACTGGAGTATTACACGTTAAACGCCATTGTGGCCACCGGTGACCTCCGGTAGCGGAGGATTTGCCTTCAACAGTTTTCTGTCGGCAGTCAAAGGCTTTATCATCCTCATCTTCATCGTTATGAGCCTGTTAATATCCTACAGCTTACAAAAAGGCTCTCCTCACACGGAGAAGCAATGAGCATTAAGCACCACGCGTGTTCAAGGCAACTTAGTGGTTTCAAACTTATAATTAAACATTTTACGTCATGGTTCTTCTCTTCTTTCTTCTTTCTAATAAAATGTTGAAAAAAGAGAATACAGATGGAATACATAAAGTACACACACATATTACTCGGAAATAGTCACACTTGCTACTTCAAAAGTTTTAAACCCTCATATTGTGAGGGCCAATAGGAATTTTCACAAAATACTTACAATTAAACAGTATTGGAAATACAGCATAAAACTTTCTGAAGTTAAGTCGAAACTTCGTATTTTAACCAGCAGAACTCGGTAGTAATCATCTGTCGGTGTAGGCAGCGGTATCAGGCAACTGAAAAACAAAATAACCAATAATTTTTATCTTGTTTTTTTTTTATAATAGCAGTGGTAGTTATGAATATTCGTAACCATATCCGAAACAATCAGATATCCGAAATGAAAATGTTATTTAATAAAAATATTCGTAACAGTATTACTACTTTTTATATTTTATTTGTTTAAATAACACTTTGCCCTACACTAGGATTTTCACCGGTGTTTTAGGTGCGTTTACTTGCCGATTCACATACACACACACACCTAGACCCAAAAGAACAATTTTTAGATTACACAAAATGTTATTCCGGGCCTGAATCGAACCCTCAATACATTCTGTGGAGGCCAATTGCCCACCATTGTGCCACCTGTGCATTTAAAACTTTGAGAGTCATTGAATTTTCCCCACTTAAATATGGCAACTGGGCTTGAAACCGTCTGAATCAGGGCGATTCGTTCGGTTGCTAGGCTGATGCGTACTACGGTAGTGGTGGTAGTTATCAACCTTTGATGTCAATGATGACAGTACAGACCAGTACACAGTACAGACCAATCCCACTCATAAAGCTTAATAGACCACCACAGATGGGGCTCTACAAGGCTGTGTTCAGTGGATGTTGCGTGGATAGCGCAATAAGGTACCGCGACCTCGGCTTAAAGCAGGAGAAGGAACGGAGAGGTATTCAGTCAGTAAGAGTCTGACACTGCCTCTCACCTCACCCTGGTTGAGAGAAGTCATTTAATGCTTTTCCCATCATAAAAACCGAAGACCACCAACACTACCACCTAAGACGAGACGCACGGAGATATTCCACTGAACCATGGGTATTATTATAAAATACTACTTATCGAAGCAGGGATGTACATTCAAATTCACAAACAAGCTAATCAGATCTGACACAACAATTTGTGGATCACACAGTGTTCCTTGCGGGAATTGAACCCACGATACGTTTCGTAAAGGCTAATTGCCCAGCCACTGCGAAAACCGTGCAGCTTTGTGTGATTTAAAAGTATTGTTGCGTGTCTGTGTGCCTATGTGAAATTATATGTTTGTAAACGCACACTGGTGTGGGGCTTCTTTTAAAATAGACAAAATAGAAAAGAACACTCCTAACGTATAGGTGTTATAAAAAATACTTACGCTACTTTCAAAATGTTCTGCAGCTCCTCCTTCACGTTGGTTTTTGAGAAGAATTTTGGTATGAGTGTTTTCATTGTGCATAAACGGTCGATTTGCTTCTTCGCCTTCTCCACGGAACCCTTGCACGATATCAGGGTCTTCTCCAAATACACCTTGCCTGAAAGTGTTTTCGAAAAATATGTGGTCTTTATTTTGTTTTTTTACTAGCTGGTCCGAAAGTCTCTGTACTGTGTAGAAACTAAATAATTTGTCAATGTTTGGAAGCTCATTTACACCATAACATTTTCTTGAACGTTCGAGAGCAATAATACGTAAGCAATTATAAGCAGTTCAATTATTGGTTAAAATTAATTGCATACGAACAGGCAGACAGGCGAGAAACTTGTAAATGGTGCTTAATAATGTCAGTTTTGTTGCTCGTCAAATGTCATTTATAAAACAGTTTTTACAGAGATTTATTAATATTCGTTATATGTTTACTAACAAAATAATGTCTCGTCCTCTCAGATACTAACAAATACCACGAATTTAAGTTCAACGGACAATTAATCTGCCGTCACCACGTGACACTGGCAGTATAGTCGACAATATTTGAATATAAAAAAATGCATTTTATTTCATTTTTCAGTGGACCCCCCTGCTATATGGAGTATAGATAATGAAGGGAACTGATGTAAAGTGGTGTGTTACATTACAAATGTGCAACCTATGCTTACATTTAATGAATTTTTCCAACTTTAGAACAATGAGAGTGTCTGACTTTCACCTATTAAAACCACACGGTTCTTTCTCCTGCTCTGGGCCGGGCTACAGTACACTATAATGCTTGCATTTACAACCTCGGACATCTTTTTTTGAGGAGGGAAAATCATCAAATAATTTCTCTCGCCGAAGGTGACGAGAGTAAATGTTAGACTTATACTGTTTGGTGATGCCCCGTTCCTTCCGTTCACAGGTCGAGGCCATAGTAGCTTATTGCGCTTGACCCACAATCCTGGTTAAACATCGGCTCTGTAGTACCCCACTTTCATCATCAAATGACTTCTCCCGTCCAAGCGGGAGGGAGTGTCAGACTCTTACTGACTAAAAACCTCCCCGTTCCTTCTCCTGCTCTGGGCCGAGGTCGCGGTGCCTTATGCGCTACCCTTGCAACCTCGGCTGAACATCAGCCCAATAGGGCCCCGTATGTGATGGTCTATTGGCTCTTTGAGGCGCGCGCGGAATGTTACACGCCGGACGCTCGGATCTGGTTCTGGTCGGGCGGCGAGCTGCATTTACTCCCCGACCGCAGACCCGCGCGTAATGCCTTACCTGTGGTGGTCTTTTGGCCCTTTGAGGTGAACGCGGAACATTAAGCACCACACTCGGGTTCTTGTCGGGCCGCGATTTTTATTTTATGTTGTAAAAGCCATAACAATATAGGTAACTTTAAGTGTGGGAGAGCCATGCTTCGGCATGAATGCGTCTGCTGGACCGGAGTGATACCACAGCCTCGCAGAAAACCGGCGTCAAACAACTATAGCGTTGTGTGTCGCCGGGTGAATGAGGTTTCTGGAAGCCCAATCTTTCCCCTCCCCCAATCCCAAATCTAATTCCTAAATCCCTAATCCCCAAAAGACCGGTAACGTCTTCTGTTGTTGCAGGTGACCATGGGCGGCACTAATTAATCTAATTTCTGTATGTCAGTGTTTGTGTGTCATTGTCAATAATATAAATATTTCTTGTCTATTCACTCGATCAAATAGTGTTATGTATGCTATATGGTTCGTAGAACTGACGTCGACTTGGTTGCGCAACCAACCGGTTGTCAGTGGTCGGTGTACAAATCAACCATAGTGTTTATTTTACTATCTCTTTGTAGACGCAATAGCTGCGCTACTTGCCGAGCCGAGCGACCATGTTATTGTAAAAACATATAATCCTATATGAATAAGTAACTAGCTACTCTCGCGCAGTTTCTCTCGCTGCTCGGCTGTATTCAATCGTAGCGTGATGTTTTATAGCCTAAGGCACTAAGGGATATTGTAGCTATCTATCAGTGAAAGAATTTTGACAATCCGACCAGCGGTCCCAAAGATTACCCCCTACATACAAACTTACAAACATGCAAACTTACAAATTTAACCTCTTTATAATATTGTATAGTATAGATAAAAATAAACTCAACTCTCAGAAAACCGGCGTGAAGCAATCACAGCGTCGTAATTCATGATTTATCTAGATTTTACCCATTTTCCTCCCCTATTCTTACCTAATCCATAAATATCCAAAACCCTAATCCAAAAAGGCAGGAAACGCAGTCATACCTCCTCTGGTGTTGAGGTTGTCTATGCGCGCCTCCGATTGCTTACTATCAGGTTATCCATTCCAACATTTACCTGCCTTTCACGTGGAAAAAAAAAGACCAACACTTTTTAGATTAGCCCTCCTGTAACCCTACACACACGGCAAAGCGCAATGGATTTTTGAAACACCCTTGTGTCACTTCGATCGAGTCTGTTCATTTAAGTGCAAGCTCTGCCATACTTAAAACTTTTACTATTTAATCTGTGCTAAACAAGGTGCAAATATTTTTTTAAATATTCATAATTCTTAGTAAAACCATATTAGTTGTTAAAGTAACATATCAGTGTTAATGATTAATCGCGTTTAATTGAAATAATCGTGATCAAGTAAGTACTCGTGCTAAGTATCGAACATACCTTTTGATTTTATAACATCATAAATTGTTGCAAATCTATGCAGTATCTTTGTTTATCATAATATATATGTACATATATATTTTTAAATACCAAGCAGGTTTAATAGCTTACTTTTTTTAGGAAGAAAATCATGAAGTGATTTCTTTATCACTGGATGGGGCGAGAGAGAGTGTCTTACTTAATGTTCTTTAATGCATCAAGCGTTAAATAATACATGAAAATGGTGTCGGTTCGAAACCTGGCAAGTACCAATGTGACTTTTTCCGAGTTATATTTACTTTCTATGATTATTTAGACACCACTGATATACGGTGAAGGAAAACATCGTGAGAAACCTAGACTTGTAATTACTAATTATAAGTTTGAAATCGCCAATCCGCCTTGAGCAAGCGTGGTGATTATTGCTCAAACCTTCTTCGTGTGAGAAGAGGCCTTTGCTCAGCAGTGGGCACTTGATGACATGCGTGCAATAAGACGGATTACCTGATAGTAAGCAATCAGCGCCGCCCATAGACTACCGCAACACCAAAGGAGTTACGAGTGCGTTGCCGGCCTTTAAGAGATAAGAAGGTTTTGGACATTTCAGGATTAGGAAAGGATGGGGGGAGGAGGGATTGGGCTTCTCGTAACACAAAGCTGTGGTTGTTTTAAATCGGTAAACCTAATTGTTAAAAACGCGAATCTTTGTACCTAAGTGTAGATGGAGAAGGAAAAAATAGTAAACGAATATGAATTCTAATCGCATAGAGATAGACTATATATTGGAATAATGCTAGACTGCTTTTCATTCTGATACTATGAGCTAAGCCAGCAGAAACTAGTTATTGACACAATACCTACATTAATTTATCACAAATCACGTTTCCGTATGTTTTTTTTTCTTTCATAACTTAACTTTCCAGTTTTAAAGTAAGCCCAGACCTACAGTTTTAACGACTCTTTTTTTTAATAAGCTTGTATATGATTAGAACCGGTTCGAAACATAGTTTTTTGTTACAATAATTAGCATTTCTTTAAGGTTAATAGGCTGATATAAACAAAATAAAAATCTATTGATTTAAATAATTCTGTGACCTTTAATTATGATGGTTTATTATAATTATGCAAGATTATTAGCATTCTATGTTTTTTCGTTAGTTCTAAAGTTAAGTGTGGGAGAGCCATGCTTCGGCACGAATGGGTCGGCTCGACCGGAGTGATACCACGGCCTCACAGAAAACCGACGTGAAACAACCACAGCGTTGTGTTTCGCCGAGTGAGTGAGGTTTGCCGGCTGCAGTCTTTCCGTCCGAATACAATTTAGGTGTCTTCAAGGCTAGAGTGAATAGGCTCTTAATCAACTAGTGCACCTTACCATCAACGATTGCATCACTGCTTAACATCAGGTGGGATCGCAGTCAAGCACTACTATAATGCAAGTAAAAAAAAAAATCTCCAAATCCCTAATCCCTAAAAGGTCGGCAACGCACTCGTAACTCCTCCGTGTCCATGAACGGCGCTGATTGCTTACCATCAGGTAATCCGTCTGCTCGTTTGCCGACCTATTACATAAAAAAAGTAAGTTTTCATATATAAAATCTCTAAGAGGAGTGAACTATATGTTATTGTTTAGTAGAATACCAGCGCAAGGCCCTGTTTTGTACATGCTGAACTGGTCCCATTTCACCGCAGACTTGGCACACTAGTAGGTAGATAGTCTCTAAACTGTATGTACAGAATCTTATGTGTCACTTGTTTTAGCGTGCGAAATAAAGTTTTCTTTCTTTCTTTCTTTATTACATTAATTGGTAACGTCAAAAGTCTTTGCTTTTTGTGTGGGAAAAATCGTCGGAAGGAGTAATAGATTTTTACTGAATAAAAACTATCCGTTCTTTCTCCAGCTTCAGGCCTAGACCGTGATACCCGGTATTACGCTCGCCCGGTTACCCCTACTGAACATCAGTTCAGTAGAGCCATGTCTGTGAACTATTGGCTTTTGAGGCGCTCTCGAAAAACTATGCGCAATACACTAGGGTCTAGTTCTGGAGAGGCGGCGAGCTAACCTTGCTCGCCATCCGTAGAACCGCACTTATGGTTGCAACGACAAAGGTCTAGCCAACTGGCATGGACAAGACAGTCACCACTCAACATCACTCCAGTGTCAAAAGGTGACAGGTTCGCTACCCTCTTTTTAGCACGTTGAAAATTTGCTTCCTTCCATCACCAAATCAAAGCTGATGCCTATAATCCTTGTTGTTTTCTATAAATTGATGATGTGATTTATTACGACCTGAATGTATATCCCGTTAATAAATTTGACTGACTTTTCTGGATTTGATTCTTCTTCAACCTGTGTAATTATGATCATGGGCTATTGTACTTTTTAACTCTATTATCTTTCCTTGACACATCTTCTTCGCCTATCTGCCTATGCTCTCACTTCCAGTACACAAATACCACACACAAACTATATCAA